GCTGTCCTGTCGCCCGTGGTCCGCTCCGAACTCGGTGTCCCCCTCCCTGCCATCCCCAGCGTCCCTGCCCCCGCCCCAGGGGCGCCCAGCATCCCAGCTCTTCCACCCGCGGAACTGCTCGCGGGGCCGCCTCGAAGGGGAAAGTTGGGCAGCTTGCGGCCCCGCGGGGGAAAGCGTTAATGGGCGGCCGGGTGGGAGCAGCGGCGCTCGCTCGCCCACGTCACACCGGTGCGGACTCGGCTGACGACCGCGGCGCCTGGGGACGCCGGCGCGCTCCGCTCGCCAGGTGCTCCGCCTGGAAATGTCTCCATTAGTTGTCGCCTGCTTCCCACTGGAGCGCGCTCGCCGAGCGGCCGCGCGGAGCCCTCGCGGGCGGCCAAGAGTGGCCGGGCGCCACAGCAGGTAGGCGAGGTCCCCGCGGCTGCCCCCACACCCCGGGGCTCCGAGACCCCTCCCCCCTTCCGAGGAGGCGGAGGCTCCGCGCTTCCGCCGAGGGGCGCGGGCGGCGGCGCGGCGACTCCCTGGTGCGTCCCGGCTGCGCTCTGCTCACCTCGGCCCCGGCGCCGAGCGGCGCGGGCGGGCGCGTCCCCATCGCAGGTAGGAGTGGGCTCGGCAGTGCAAACTTTGCGAGAATCGCCCCAGCGCGGGAAGGGACAAAGTTTGCTGCCTGCTGGTGGGGTCTCTGGAGGCAGCAGCGCTTACTGCAAGTTGGAGAAAGCCTGGCGCGGAGGGCGGCGCGGCGAGCAGGGAGCAGGGAGTGAAGCCGGGCGCGGGGCCTGTCCTCGGGACTCAGTGGCGCCGGCCGGGCGCCCAGACTGTGTGCCTTCCGGCCTCGGGCGGCGCCCCGCGGGAATTGCGAGCCCAGGAGAGCCGCAGGGAGTGGGCATTTCGGGGAGGAGGGAGTCAATGTTGGTCCCTGCAGCTCGCCCGACTGGTTTCGGCAGGGACGCAGGGTAAGGGATGCGAATGAATGACCTGCCAACCTCGGGGTTCGCGAGTGTGGCGCCGTGGAGATCTAGAAAGTAGCTCACCCCGGGCGTCCGCGAGCGGTGGGCACAGGCGCCCTCCAGGGCTCGGGCCTCTGCCTCTGAAAAGAAGGCCTTGCCTGGTGCTCTGGGATCCGCCTCCGCTCTCTGGCTGGGGTCAATTTTGCTGGGCCGGATAGAGCCTGAAGGGCTCTCGGTACCGCGGGGTAGTGGTGGCCCCCGGGACTACTCTGGGAACCGGCTGGGACCGCCTGGGCTCAGGTGGGCGCAGGAGGGAGGTCCCAGCGGGACCCGCGGAAAGGTCAGGCACGGCCTGTCTCCCCCAGCGTCCATCTAAGGTTCCCACGGCCTGAGATCCCACAGCCAGAGCCACGCCGTCACCTACAGCCCAAGGCGAAAAAGGTGGCCCATGAGCACCTAACGTTAGGGGCTAGCCGTCCTCCGTCCCCTGTGCGGCCTGCTGAGGGCCCTTGGCCCTCGGCTCCTTTTGAGTCTCGCAGGCCCATGGGGGCACCTCACTGAAGCCGAGCTGCTGCCTTGTCCGTGGGCAGCCCCGCGGCTTCTGACAAACCTACTCAAGGTGTATTTAGAACCCAGGGCGGCCTTCTAGGGACGCCGGCTCAGCATACCGCGTCTATACAGGCACATTGAACTGAGGATATCTGACGTGCTGACAATCTGCTCCATCTGTTCAAGGAGAGGAAACCGGGCCGGGTTCCTCGGCTCAAACCTTTTTATGAAAAGGCACTTGGATCACTATTACTGTGTTTTCTTTGGGGGCACGGACGGCCCAGAAAGTAACCCCGATTCCGGTTAGTGGGCCTCAGCCAGCTCTCAGGTCGTCAACGGGCTACCCAGGGTGTGAGCTGGCCTGGTTGGAGACCGCAGAGCTGACCGTGCATCCAGGATTGGATAGCCCGGCCTGGATGAGCAGCTGGCGAAGTCCCGAGGCTCCTCTGGGAGCAGCGAGCCTCCCCAAACAGGGTGGCTGGGCCAGGCCCGCACACGGCCAACCAGAACCTGCGACCGGCAGGAAGCCGAGAGTCAGGGTGCAGGGCCTGCCCAAGGGGAGACATTGTGCCTCATTGTGCCGAGTTTCTGGAGTCAGGGAGTGAGGGTGGCCCCCAGAACATGGCCAGCCGCCGGGCCTGGCCAGTGGGGACTGGCACACAGGCTGGAAAGAAAAAAGGAGAATGTTGCAGCGATGGCTGAAGGGATCCCCCGTAACCCCCCCCCCCAGAGGCCCCCAAGGACGGATCCAGCCGGCTGCGGACATGGGGAGGTGGAGACTGCTGGAGCCCAGGCTTCGGGGGTGAGCCTGTCTGCTCAGAATGTGAATGGTCCGCGTATTCAGGGGCGTCGCTCCTCAGGAGCCAGGTTCCGGGTCTCTGGGACAGGAAATGAGTGCACAGGCCTCTGTGGGCCAGCCATCGCCAGCTGGAGCCCCGAGGCAGGGCGCAGGGCGCAGGCCGCTGGGACTTGGGTTGTGGCTTTGCTTCCTGGCCGGGCTGAGCGCGCACAATCGCCAGGGGAGCCCCACTGACCCTCACCCGCCCCAGAGGCGGCCGGAGCAATGGGGGTGAGGAAAAGACAGGTCGCTAATGAATGCCATCCTTCCGTCGCGATTCCTGCTCCCCGGCCCTCGGCCACCCTTGCCTAGCATCCCTCCCTCGCCCCGGCCTCACAGCCAGGCAGAGAGAGAGAGTTGTTTGTAAACAATAAATAATGGAAAGTCGGAGATGTTCAGCCAAAGCCTCAGCAAAAGCGGCAAACTGGAAGAATTGGGAGAAGGGAGACTGGGGGAGGGGAGGACCCGGAGTAGGAAGAGGGAGAGAGCAGACTGAGAGATTCATTTCCACCCCAGAAGCCCCGGTGGCTAGTTTCTTATTATTTACAGGAAGGTGATATTAGCAATTCAGGTGAGAAAGAAATAAACACGGCCCGCCACGAAATCAATACAGAATTCAAAAACAATTATTAATGTCATTTGACTCGTGTTCTTTATATATCTCTCCCGGCTACAGACGCTAAACTGTCTGAATAATTTGCATGGAGCGGCTATTCATTATTTCCGATGGTTTTCTTTTGCAAGCAGCTCGGACGTGGCCGGCTGCGGTCCAGCAGGATGGGAGAGCTCGTATTTTCATCTGTAAATTAAAGCAATTACGCAGCAGATATTATATGATGTGTACTGTGGTCTCCAGATAGTCATCAATCACCTTCAACCGAGCTGTCAGAGCCGGCAGATTTCGTTTCTGGGAGGCAGGCTTGCAGCTGGGGAGAGGGCGAGAACGTCATCATTAATTAGAGGGTGACCCGGGGGCGATTCACAGGTCTGAACCCAGGAATCTTTCCGAGCAAGTCTGCACAGCGCCGCGCGCGGCTCCCCTCCCGGCCGACCGCGGGGGGCCGAGCGGGGAGACAGCTGCAGGGCCGAACCCGGCCCCCTGAGGGCGGCGGCGCGAAAGGCAGGGACAAGTCCGAGACGGTCCGGGCGCTTCCTTGCCTCCAGAGCGCAGGCCACGGCTCTGGACTCGGTCGAGATCCCCGGGCTGAGACTGGCTGGGCCGCTGGGGGATGCGCACCTGGCCCGCTCCCCGGCCGCCCAGTACGCCCCGGGCTGGGAAGGCTCTTGGGCCTGACGCCCAGCACCCTTCCCAGGCACCCAGCCCCAGGTCACCATGAGAAGAGGGAGGGCCTGGGTTGAGTTGGAAAACCGGCTCTTGGGAGCGCGCTGGGACGTCTAGCAGCCCCTGGCTTGGCCGCGTGGGGCAGCGGGCGATGAAAGAGAGCAGCCCGTGCCAAGGCGGGGAGAGGGAGAAGGAAAAGAAAGGGGGGCTGTGAGCCGAGTAGGAACCGAAATGACTGAGGTGGGGCGTTCCCCGGGGACACTCTGCAGCCTAGAGTGACAGAGCTAGCGGCCAAGGGTCTAGGGAGGCCGCGAAACACCTGGGGTGGCCTCCTCTAGGGAGGGCTCCGAACACACACACACACACACACACACACACACCTGGGGACATTTTGACCTCCAGAGGCGGACACTCTTGCGGCCGCAGTTGGTTCTGGAACCCAGAACCGGTGTAGGGTTCAAACTGGTGGGAAAGTGCGGGGAGGCACCAAAGGGAGGCGTTGCTGACGTCCCCGTTAAATAATAGCGACGACAGGCGCGCCAAGGCGCAGGGCACCGCGCTGCCCCCCGGCGCTGTGCGCGGAGGCCGGCGAGCGGCCCTTCTGTGGTCCGGGGGAGACGCTCACGGGGAGCGGAGGCCTACCGGCTGCCTACCACCAGTGCGGGGCTAATTTTAACTGTTGATTACATCTTAAATGAAGACTCACTCGTGTGTCCCTTCATAAGTCTCATTTGTAATTGAGACTAATGATTACAGTGGGGTGGGAAGGAGCAGCTGCTCATTAATTAATTTCTAATTAAAAGTGCCTCCCATCCTCGGGTGACTAAGGAGAAAACACCGTTCGTCGGGGCAATATTGATTCCTCGGATGGAATTCATTTGTTAAAGTCGTTGGCCCCTCCGCCAGCCTTGCGCGCTGGGCCCTGTCCCCGCCCCACCCAGGCCGTGCCGCGCGCTCCTGGCACGCGGACCGAGTGACCCGCGCGTCTGCGGCCGACCGGGCTGCGCGGCGTGGGGCTGACGTCAGCGCCTCGGCCGCTTAAATCCGAGCACATCTGACTTGACGGCTTTGCGCATCTCCTTGATTTTTTTTTTTTTCCTTTTTCTGCAAAATATGTATTTGTGTCGCCACGGAGAGGCCGCTCGGTCCCAGAGCCCCCTCGAGGCTCCGGATTGCGAGGCTAAAAGAATCGCTGCGGCCACCGAGGCTCACTTTCTTACCCGGTTAAAAAAGTTTGCGGCGCTCGTGGAAGAATTAACCGAGGGTTCGGCTTCGCCCTCGCAGTGCCTAGGAGTCCGCGGCCCCGGAGCAGTGGCCGTGCCACGCCGGCGCCCAAGCCCAGGACCCCGCTGGCCCCGCCCTCCGGCCCCAGGTCACGCCCACCATGTCCTACCCGCAGTTCGGATACCCCTACTCCTCGGCTCCCCAGGTAAGGGGGCCCCGCGAGGGCCTCGGGGAAGCGGGAACGCGGCAAGAGGCACAGGCAGGCGCTTCCGAGGGAGCAGGGTCTGTGCCCCGCGCGCCCGGCCGGGGGACACCAAGATACCCATGGCAGGCGGGGGCCCTTAGAAAATCCGACGGGTGGGGTCTTCGTTCCCTGCTTTGTTTGATCCTGGGCTCGGAGACTGCGCTCCAGGGGAACCGGGAAAACACTTGGGGCAAGGAGGGTCGTGGCGCGCGGGACGTGCGTGGCCTTGGAAACCTCCTGCGGGTGGGGAGGTGGGATAAACACTTATGGCCCGGGGCAGGCTGAACCCCAAGTGGCGGGAGGAGGCCAGGCGCGCGCAAAGGTTCGCAGGGGCGGAGGGCGGGGGGAGCAAGAGACGCGCGGTCAGGGGTGGACGGCTGGAGACCGGGGGAAGGGACACAGCACCCCTCGTGGGCGGCGCATGAGGCCCATCGAAGCCCAGGGCTCCGGCCTCGCGCCCGGACGCCCGCCTTCCTCGCGGCCCCTCTCTCCTCGCAGTTCCTGATGACCACGAACTCCCTGAGCGCCTGCTGCGAGTCTGGCGGCCGCACGCTGGCGGAGTCCGGGCCAGCCGCATCGGCCCAAGCGCCCGTCTACTGCCCGGTCTACGAGAGCCGGCTGCTGGCAACGGCGCGCCACGAGCTCAACTCGGCCGCGGCGCTCGGCGTCTACGGGGGTCCCTATGGTGGCTCGCAGGGCTATGGCAACTACGTGACCTACGGCTCCGAGGCATCCGCCTTCTACTCATTGGTAAGAGGGGCTCCCCAAACCGCTCCCTGCCCCGCGCCTGCCCCTGGATTCGTAAACCCACTTTCTCTGCACTTGGGAGGCAAGGGCGCGAGTCCTCTGGCCCCGCAGACTGCAGGGGGTGGGAGGAGCACAGCTTCGCGCCGCGTAGCCTGGTCCCTGGCAGGTGAGGCGCCATATTTAATGTATTTATTGCTTCAGGTTCACTATTAAGTTCTAATCAGATCTCTGACTCTGTCTGAGCGCGCTCGCCTCCTCCCACCTCCTGCCCCTCTTTCTAGCCCTGTTCCCCCTCCCTGGTCTGTCTGCACTCCTCTGGGCCTCCCTCTTCTCTTCTCCCAGGCTTTCTCTGACTCACCCCGCCTATCCCCCTTTCCTCTCTTGTCAGTCCCCCTCTTCCTCCTCTCCTCTCTCCCACCGTCTAGCTCCTCCCCGTTTCTCTCCTCCCTCCCCCCTCCTCTCCCCATTTCTCCTCCCTCACGCCGCCTCCCTCACTCTCCCTCGTCCATAATCTGTCACTCCCTCTATCCCCCTCCTCAGCAACCCCCCTCGCTTACCCCTCTCTGCCCCTTTCCCCGCGTTCCCTCCCTGTTCCCCTCTCTTTTTCTCCCCCGTTCCAGTTCCCAATTCTCTTCCCTTTTCCCCCCTCCTTACAACTCCTCCTCTCTTCTTTCCCCCCTCCAGCCCCGTTTTCCCAGCGCCCCTCCCCCACTGTGAGAGTTTTTCCCACGTTTCAAGGAACCCGGTTGGGAAGCGGACGGGAAATGGGTACCTTCGCTGCCCGGCCCCGAGGAGCAATGTAGGGGCCGCGGGGGACCGGCTGTGGGGCTACTCAGGGGCCCGTGAGAAGCCTGTTGGAGCTAAGGGGCCTGGAGGAGGGGCTCGGGTTGGGCTGCGCCCAGTAGCTGCGCCCCAGGTTTGTCCTTTCCTACAGAACAGCTTCGACTCCAAGGATGGGACGGGGTCTGCGCATGCGGGCCTGGCGCCCGCCGCAGCCGCTGCCTACTACCCTTACGAGCCGCCGCTGGGCCAATATCCATACGACAGGTGAGGGACCAGGGGCCCCCCCGCACTAGCCCCGTCCCCGAGGGCCCCCCCGCGCGACCACTGCCTTTAAACCCTCCCCACCGCCCCCTCGCACCTGCCCCTCTGGGAGGGTGGGAAGGCCAGACTGGAGCCGACCATGTGAACCGCCCTGTCCCAACTCCCGGACCGCCTGTGCCAGCCCGGGGTTAAAATAGGTCCCCACCCATCGGTGCTCTGAAGTCCTTGCTGTGACTGTGATTGTCGGGGGAGTCGGGACTGGCAGGCCACATTCATCCAGGTCTGCTTCCTCGCGGGGCTCCCGAAATGCTTCCCGGCCTTGTTCTGTCCAAGACCCCCGCAGCCTCCTCACCCACTCCCCGACAGCACGCCCCAGCTTCCGCAGGGCGACGATTAAACATTTAACCAGAAAAAGTACACTGAGGCCTTGGCGCGGTTTCTCCCCATGGGCGCTGATGACCCTTTCTGCCCACGGGTATTAAATGTTTCCGTGCGCTTTCGCATCTCCGTTATATGATCTTGGAATCAAAAGGGTAGGAGAAGCCTGATAAAGGAACTCGAGAAAATGCATGTCTGTAGAGTGGCAGAGCCCTCCGCTTGGGCCTGGCCCCCGCCCTCCGCCCTCCGCCCTCCGCCCAGGACTCCCAGCTCTGGATGGAGCCAGGGCTCGATGTAACTTTAGTATAAATATTGGCTTCGCCCACGGGAGGCAAAGGGCAGTGCCCGCCGCGAGGGAGCCTGGCTGGGGCCTGGGCCCAGCCGGGGTGAGTGCTGCTATCTGCTTCCGGCCGTAATCGCAGCCCCACGAATTGCGAGCCATGATGGGAAGGGAGGCCCGCGCTGGCCTCGCCTTCCGCCGAGTGGCCGCGGGTCGCAGAGGGCGGCGGCCGGCGCCCATTGCCGAGCCTGTCTCCAGGTACGGAACCATGGACAGCGGTACGCGGCGGAAGAACGCCACGCGCGAGACCACGAGCACGCTCAAGGCCTGGTTGCAAGAGCACCGCAAGAACCCCTACCCCACCAAAGGCGAGAAGATCATGCTGGCCATCATCACCAAGATGACCCTCACGCAGGTCTCCACCTGGTTCGCCAACGCGCGCCGGCGCCTCAAGAAGGAGAACAAGATGACGTGGCCGCCGCGGAGCAAGTGCGGGGATGAGAAGCGGCCCTACGGGGAGGGCGAGGAGGAGGAGGGCGAGGAAGAGGCGCGGGAGGAGCCCCTCAAGAGCACCAAGAACGAAGGTGAGTTGGGAGGTGTGCGCTTTGGGGGCTGAGACCATGGGGCGGCTGGTCCAGGCTCCCTGTGCCTTCTCTGCCAGCTCTAGGGCCCCTAAATTGGGCGGGTCACAAACTCAAAGCTTAGGGGGTCTAGGCAGCAATGAAGGAGAAGGCTCTGGGCGAGGCCCTGTGCTTGTTGGGGATACGGTAGTGAATCTGAGCATGCTTAAAGAAATTCAAAATCACGCTTCAAAACACTAGATGCCCTCCTCCCCCGCTAATTCGTAGCTGGAATTGGCCGGAATTGTGTTGCTAGTTTTCGACCTAGGAGCCTCTGCAGGAGATGGGAGGTATGAAGAAAGGCTTTGGGTGCTTCTCCTAGCCTCAGCATCAGCATCAAGCATCATAAGGTTGGGTTTAGATTTAAGGAAAAGGGGAGAAGGAACACCTCTGATTAACCCGTCATCTGTCTACTCTTTCCCTCCGCCGCTTACCGTCCTCTCCCTCTCCCGGGCAGAAGCCGTCAGCAAAGAGAAGGAGCTAGAGCTCAGTGACTTGGATGACTTCGACCCCCTGGAAGAGGAGACTCCCGAGTGCGAGTTGAAGTCACCCTTCCAGACCCTGGACAGCGGGCTGGAGCGCGTCCCCGCTGCCCCGGACGGTCCTGGTGCCCCGGGCAAGGAGGCCTCCGGCGCCCTCCGAATGCCTATGGCCGCCGGTGGCGGAGGCTGCCTGGACGAGGACCTGGAGAGAGCCCGGAGCTGCCTCCGAAGCGCAGCGGCGGGGCCCGAGCAGCAACCGGGCTCAGGGGGCGGCCCGCAGGCCTGCGAGGCCAAGCTGGGCTTCTTGCCCCCCGGGGTGACAACGGGTCTCGAGGCCAAGCCTCGCATCTGGTCCCTGGCGCACACGGCCACCGCTGCCGCCGCCACCGCCCTGAGTCAGACTGAGTTTCCATCGTGCATGCTCAAGCGCCAAGGCCCCCCCGTCCCCGCCGCCGTCTCATCTGCGCCCTCTCCCACGGCCCCTGCCCCCACCGGTGCCCTGGACAGGCACCAGGACTCCCCAGTCACCAGTCTCAGAAACTGGGTGGATGGGGTCTTCCACGACCCCATCCTCAGGCACAGCACTTTGAACCAGGCCTGGGCCACCGCCAAGGGCGCCCTCCTGGACCCGGGGCCGCTGGGACGCTCGCTGGGGGCGGGCGCCAACGTGCTGACGGCACCCTTGGCGCGCGCCTTTCCCCCAGCCGCTCCCCAAGACGCCCAGGCCGCGGGTGCGGCCAAGGAGCTGCTCGCCTTGCCCAAGGCCGGCGGCAAGCCCTTCTGCGCCTAACGCTGGCGGGGCCCTGCGGATCCAGGAGAGCGGGTGCTGGGGCAGCGATGGTGGATGGCGCGAACTCTTTTTCTACCAAGTAAGCAAAGAAAGGCAAGAGCGCGCGACAAAGCTAAGGCCGCTAACCCACCGCAGAGGGAGGATCTGAACTGGATCTCCAGAGGCCGCGGACAAGCTCCGTGCCCTACAGCGCCCAGGTTCTCAGACTCCGCCATCCCTCACCTCCGGGGCCAGCGGGATAGCGCAGCCTTCCGAGCAGGAGAGAGCCACCCTGAAGCATCAAGTTTACGTCCAAAAGTTTACATGGAGAAGAAATTTCAGTTTTGAGTCTGTTTTGTGTTGCTGTTTCCTTTTGGATTTGAGGCATGCAGATATTCCTGACGAAGACACCTCGGCCTGTTTATCTTCTAATTTCATCCTTAGCACAGAATTCTCACCAACAGCACTTCCACCAAGTTTACACTATTGCACATTCTTGACTCGATAAAAAAATTTTAATGTATGTTCACACCAATAATTGCCTGCTTCAGAGGCTAATATAACAAAACCAATAAAACCGAGTGATGGTGTTTGCATTGCAAAATGAACACATTTCAAGCCTAGGGATTTGAGAACCTGCAGGAGAAGGTCCAAATCCCCAAGGGGGGAGGGTATTGACCCAGACTCCATCTCAATAAAGTCGCTTGCCAAACCCAAGACTTTAAGTAAATCCATTTTTTAAAGTCACTGTAACGTTTGAGGATTCCATTACTCCATAATAGAAATGAATGAGAGACCCACAACTTGTAAACATTCCCCCATTACCGGACTCGAGAATTTTGAGAAAGGAGGGGTTTCTTTCACTAGATTAGAATAACCGTTATAAACTTTATAAATTCTCTGGGACTGTGTCCTGGCGGGGTTTGGGGTGTGGGAGCGCATTCGTGTCCTGAGACCTTCTATAGACGCTCTCAGTCCCTCCTTCGGAGGAGCCAGGTGGCCTTGGACGGCTCCTCCCCGGCTCCT